GTGTTCCTTCCTTCAGCTCTGCTATGATCTGAATATCTATGTTCCCTCAAAGTTCATATGTTGAAATTCTAATTCCCAAGGTGATAGTCTTAATAGGTGAGGACTTTGGGAGGTGATTACGTCATGAAGATAGAGCCCTCTAGAATGGGATCAATACCCTTATAAAAAAGGCCTAACGGAGCTCAATAGCCCCTTCTTGTGTCTGAGGACAGCAAGAAAGTGCCATCAGTGAACAAGAAAGCAGACCTTCACCAGATACCATACCTGCTGGTGACTTGCTCTTGGACTTCCCAGCCTCCAGAACTGTGAGACATAAATTTCAGTTGTTTATGAGCCACCCAGTTTATAGTATTTTGTTACAACGGTGACTAAGCTGGATGCAATAAAACAGACTCCCATAGCAGCTTGCTTATGTATCTCTCCTGGCAATTACTGTAATCAAGTGTTTATTTAACCTCTCAATCACCATGGACTCTGAGCTCCTTAGTGACATGTGACACGTCTGTCCACTTTATTTCCCTAACTCCTAGCATGATGCTGATTAGATTCAGATGCCTAGTAAATTAATTTTTCATAGTTACATTGACCAAGGCTAATCACTGAAAAGCCAACAAACTGTTGAGGATTGCTGTGATTGTAAACAAATCTCAAGAAATTTGTATCCATCCATAAATAATATTATTTGTGTAAATATAGCTTGGTATATATATTTTTAAAATTATATTTTCCTGTCCTTGTGTTTGTACTTTATGCTTATTTTAGTTTGTGCACATCTTGAGGGAGTTATGACTCTGTTGGTTACAAGTGCTGGTTACCTCCTTAAATCACTATTTTAAAGTTAAATTTCAGATATATGCTTTTTTTTAAAGTAGCACTTGTGCCTAACATAGTGCCTGATACTGTAAATTTTCAATATGTACCCATCAATGCATAATTAAATGGACATCTCATTAATTTATAAAATCAATATTTTTTTTCCTAGATTAAAGGAAACTCTATGTTACTTTCACTTTTCCCAAAATATTTTGGAAGCTCCCTGATTCCTCTAGGAATTTAAAATTAGTTTGAAATCATTAGGACTTTAGTATTTTTACGTATGATTATTTCTTTCCTTTCATTTCTTGAGTGCATATTTTGAATTAGTTTCAGAAACTGAGTTTTAGAACCTCTGAGCCATACCATTAACCAAGTCATTTAGCAGTATGAAAATGCTTTCAGAGAGATAGATTCAGGGTTTCCAGAGGAAATAATTTCCCTTCTCACCACTGACTAGAACTTTGGAAACTGGCTTTTTACCTCCTGAAGTTAGTGATAGCAGTGAGTGGCTTCTGTATCTATTCTAAATGCAACTTTCCACAGCGGCTTTATAAAGCCTGAACTGGCATCCCTGAGCATCCCGTTAATTAAGAATTCACAGCCCTATTTCTCCTTCATTCTCCTCCACGGCCTGTGCTGTCAGGTTTTTCTCCTCTTCCTTAGTAACGAAAGCTGAAATTAGAATTCCAAGTGGAGGCGTCACTCCCCAAGGAGACTGAGAACACCACATTCTTCTGAACGTATTCTCTTTCAGAGCATCTGTCAGTAGGGGCTCACTTGTTAAAATGTGGACATTGCCCCATTCTGTCATTCACTTAGAAATAATGTATTCCCTTGGGCAAGTAGTTTTTTTTTAGAGGGAAGTATAATAAAAATCCTCAGTTAATAAACCATCATTTTCACTATACCCTCATAAACATAAACAACATTTTTCTTAAGTAGTTTCTTGGTAGATAACTCCAATTTAAAGCCTTTATCAAATAAGCCAGAGTATTAATATCTACCTCACTGGGTTGTTGTGACTATTAAGTGAGCTAATGTGTTTAAATTGGTTTGCATTATGGCTGAGAAATAACAAGTAGTAAAGTTTAGCTATTATTGGTAATATTTTATAATAGTAAGTACATATGTAACATAAATAAAATAAACTGCTAATTATTTGAATAAGTTTCTAGAGAGCTTGGGGGGGAGCAATAATCTTAGTACAAATTAGCCCAAAGGTTATAGTCATAAAAGTGAACATACTCTTTAAACATACTTTTTCCAACATGCCTTTTATTTATTTTATACATTTCTTTTAAATAAATTAAATTGGATGCATTTTGAATAGAAAGCAGGTAATTGACAAGAATAAAGGAGACGTCCTTTATGTCATTGTTATGTCAGATCATTGTTAATGAATGCATGAATTAATGGTGAAGATGTTAATTGACATAGCCCACACACTTTCCTATAATGTTGTATTTTTATTTTCTGTTTTAAAACCTAATGAGAAGTAAATTCAGCAAAGTCTCAGGTTATAAAATCAATGCATACAAATCAGTAGCATTTCTATACACCAATAACAGTCAAGCTGGTGGTCAAATCAAGGACTCAATATCATTCACAATAGCTACCAAGAAAATAAAATAACTGGGAATATACTTAATCAAGGAGGTGAAAGATCTCTACAGAGAGAACTGCAAAACACTGAGGAAAGAAATCATAGATAACACAAACAAATGAAAAAACATATCATCCTCATGAATTGTTAGAATCAACATTGTTAAATGTCCATACCACCCAAAGTAATTTACAGATTCAATGCAATCCCCATCAAAATAGCAAGATCATGTTTCACAGATCTAGAAAAAATAATTCTACATTTCATTTGGAACCAGAAAGGAGCCAGAATAGGCAAGGCAATCTTAAGCAGAAGGAACAAATCTGGAGGCATCACATTACCAGACTTCAAACTATACTACAAGGCTATAGTAATCAAAACAGCATGATATTGACACAAAAATAGAGACATAGACCAATGGAACAGAACAGAGAACCCAGATATAAAACCATCCACATATAGCCAACTGATTTTGGACAAAGGCGATAATATGCACTGGGGAAAAGAATCCCTATTCAAGAAATGTTGCTGGAAAATTGGACAGCCATATACAGGAGAATAAAACAGGATCCGTATCTCTCACCATTCAGAAAAATTAATTCAAGATGAATAAAGGACTTAAATGTGAGGCATGAAACCATAAAGAATTCTAGAGGAAAATATAGGAAAAACTCTTCTAGATATTGGCCTAGGCAAAGAATTTATGACCAAGGCTCCAATAGCAATTACAGCAACAACAAAAATAAATAACAAAATGGGGATTGATTAGATTAAAAAGCTTCTGCACAGCTAGGGAAATAATCAACTGAGCAAACAGACAACCTACAGAATGGGAGAAGATATTTGCATGCTATACATCTGATAAAGGGCTAATATCCAGACTCTACAAAGAAATCAGCAAGGAAAAAATCAAATAACCCCATTAAAAAGTGGGCAAAATACATAAACAGAAGCTTTTCAAAAGAAGATAGACAAAACACACAGAAGTTGGCGTGGATGCAGAGAATAAGGAATACTTATATACTCTTGGTGGGACTGAAAATTAGTACAACCTCTATGGAAAACAGTATGAAGATTCCTCAAAGATGTAAATGTAGACCTGACATTTCATCCAGTAATCCTAATACTGGGTACCTACCAGAAGGAAGAAAAAAGTCATTTTATCAAAAAGACACTTGCACTCAAATATTTATTGCAGCAGAATTCACAGCTGCAAAGATGTGGAATCAACCCAAGTACCCATCAATTCATAAGTGGATGAACAAAATGTGGTATATGTATATGGAATACTACTCAGCCATAAAAACGATGAATCGATGCCTTTTACAACAATTTGGATGGAACTGGAGACCATTATTCTGAATGAAGTATCACAAGAAGGGAAAAACAAACACTGCATGTAGTCACTATTAAATTGGAACTAACCAATGAGCACACATGTAAACAGTGGGAAGTAAAGCTCAGTAGAAATCAAGCAGGGAGAAAGGGAAAGGAGGGGATGGGCAAAACCTACCTAATGGGTACAACAAACACTATTTGGGCAATGGGCACACTTACAGCTATGATTCAAGCCTTACAAACATGATCTGTGTAAAGAAAAATATTACCCCCTTAATATTCTGAAATTAAAAAAATATATACATATATGTGTGTGTGTGTGTGTGTATATATATATATATATATATATATATATATATATATATATATATATATATAATAAAACCCAAGGAGGACTTATCCCCATAGCTGGCCTTTAAAGGCTCTTTTCTTTCTTGACTTCAGTTTCAGCTTTGGTTGAATTTAAAAGCTTAATAAGCATACATAAAGCTACTAAGTTTACATTTAATGAAAATTTCAAATGTGTCTAGGCTATTGATCATTTCTCAGAATAATATTAATTTTGTCCTTATTTTTTATACTTCCAATTTAAATGTCCAATTGAAGTGATAATTATTTCTTATGAAGAAAGTAATGATTGTTTCACTTAAGTTTGTGTTGAAAGAGCTACAGCAACTTGCTTTCTAAAAATAGACACTCAGTAAGGTGGGAAGGACTTTTGTTAAGTTTGTGGTACTGTTTTAGAAAAGGTAGCATAGCCTATTTTGTAAACTTGTTAATTATCTTGGCATTTTCTGGGGCCGAACAGTTTCAAAATACATTTTCATATTTTTACTGTCAGAATTTCTTTGCTAAAAGTGACTTAGGGAAAGCTTAGCATAGTTTACAAAAGAGGATCATTTCAATTTATTTTTAGTAATCTGCCTCCAATTCCTCATTTACCATTACAAGCTTGCTGAGGTAGACATGTAATTTCTCTGGACCTTTTCAAATCTCTGTATGATACTATAAGTATATAATTGAGGGCAGTTTTAATCTGTCACCTGTATTAACTACTTTTGTATTAAATAAAAAAGGTAACAGGGACAGGAATATCATGCAAAAGGCTGATTTACATGTCATTTTAACTTTAAGTACTGAAATTAGGGATTACGTCCATATACCTACATAGAAAAGTTTTTAGTGTGTTTCAGAAAAGTTGGTCACAAAATGTTTTGTACAACCTTATTTTTTGTTGTTGCAGAAATTCAATCAAGAAGTAATGGTTTTGCAAAGGTGCTGGGAAGTGGAAGGATTATGGATATACTTTGAAAATAGAGACCACAGGATCTCCAGAAAGATTGGATGTAGATATGTGAAACATAAAGGTATCCAGAATGACTCCAAGGATTTTAGCTTAAGCAACTGGAAGGATGGAGTCACTAACCTGTGAGAGAGGAAGACTGAAGATGGAACAGTTTTTTGGAGGGAAGATGTTGAGTTCCAGAATATCTTCCTTTTGTTTCTTAAGATTCTTTTTCTATGGAACTTTACTCTCTGTTCCAAGAGGCTGATCTGTGTTTATTTTATCAGTAGATCATTTGTCCTTTGACTCTTAATTATATTCAGTCAGTAGGAGCTTATAAACTGGAGGGAGGGAGGAGAATGAGATCATGGATCTGTTCTCTTGGCTTCCTCACAATGAGTTTTTTCTCAGGTTCTCTGAGTGTTACCTGGCCAAATGTCACCACTATTCTCCTGGTGGCCTCATCTATACAATTCTCTCCTTCCAGTTTCTAGCAAATCCTCTTCCTCTCACTATTTCTGATCTATGGATCTTAACAGCTCTGTTCCAACTAACCCAGAGTCATTATACTATCTATCATGGTTCCACTATACCCTGACTACACCCCTGTAAATAGTCACTTTGTAAATAAACATTTTCCAAATTTTCTAATTTCATTGTGCCTTCTGGTTCTTCTGAGGACCATGAATGATAGACTATCCAAGTGGAACTGAAGAGTAAGATATTGATTATATGGTCTTGAGTTCAGGAGAGAAGTCTGGCTTGGAGATATCCATTGGGAGTAATTAGCATACAGATGGATTTAAAGCCAAGTCTGGAAAAGATTACCAAGAAAATAAGTATAGATAGTGAAGAGAAAAGGAGCAAGTACTAGGCTTGATCTGGAAAAAAAAAAATAGGAACCTGCAAAGTAATCCAAGAAGGAGCACCTAGTGAGGTTGAGGGAAAACTCTGAGTGTGGTGTTCTGGAAGCTAAATGAAGAAAGCATGACAGAGAGAATGGAGGCAATCCGCTGTGTCAAATACTCCTGATGGTAAAGTATTATCCAGATGAAGAATTAACCATGGGATTGAGCAACATGATAGAGATGACAGAGATGAAAGTCTGACTGAAGTTGTTGGAAACAAAGAGTACAGACTAGTTTTAAAAAAGATTTTTGCTACAATAGGATGCAGAAGAATCGGGGTGGTAGCTGGAAGTAAAAGTGGGGTCAAAGTCGGAACAATAAGAGAACTGTCTACACATATTCCTTTTGTAATATTTTCCAGACCCATGAGTTTAAATACTATGTACATGCATACACTTGATTGCAAGTGATGTGCCAGGGAGTGGAAACAATGTGCCAAGCCTGGCTTGGAGTGAAATCATGATGCATTTGGGGAAATGAATGATTGCAAATAGCTCAACATGGACTATAGGATGTATTGAAACAGAGATGAGATCCTTCATCCAGTAGCCTATGAAGTACTGAGTCCTGTCAACAACCATGTGACTGAGCTTGCAAGTGGATCCTCCCCCAGTTGAGCGCTGAAATTTCTGAAGACACCTTGATTGTACCCTGGTGAGGGACCATGAGACAGAGGACCCAGAAAGCTGCACCCAGATACATGACCTATAGAAACTGGGAGATAATACAATTTAAATAATTAGGTTTTGGAGTAATTTTTTATGTACCAAGAGTTAACAAATACAGCCTTTCCAAAAGATTACTTCAGTTAACATTATAGAGTTAAGAATAGATTAGAGAGGGGCAAGATTAGGAGCAGTGTGTCCAGTAAAGAGTATGCTTGTAGAAATGCGTGTGAGAAATGATAGTTGCATGCTACTGTACTCTCCTGTAACCTTCTGGAATGATCTTTCTTCCTTTTACTTTTCTCTGCAGCTTAGCTAGTCCTCAAGAGTATTTACCTTACCTCTGCAGGCCAGCCTAATTTCAGTCCTAGTGTCTCTTACATTGACCCATTCTTCTGCAGTTAAGTCTTCTGTTTGCACCTCTATCATAATAAGCATCCCACAGCCCTGAAAATTCCACTGAAAGAAGATTTCAACTTAATTACTGGATTGCATGAAATTCAGCCAGATCAATTTTAAGTACTATCTGTAACTTGAAAGGTAGGGCATTACATAATTTCTACCCATCAATATCTTAGCGTGGATAACTTTGTCAAAGTAAAAGGAGCAGGCTCCTGGGAGAATAGAACACAGCATAGGAGACTATTTTAATGGAGGGAAGGGAAAAGCATATTTAACCCCACTGCCTGGTGCCCAGCATATAGTAGGTGCTTGATCAGTACTAAATGGATTAACAAATACTAGATATCAAAGCTGGGATGAGGAGACTCTCACATTCAGGGAAGAATATGGGACACAGTATGTTTGAAGGAGGCTGGGGTAGTATTGGAAAGAGGTACTATCAATAAACTATCAACTTCATAGTTTTATCTATATCCCTGGTTAATTGTTAGGAAAAAAATAAGGCCATTGTGATAAAGATTGACATATTATTTAGGATTTAGGGAAATGTTTCTTAAATATTCAGGCAGTATCTATAATTTCTGGAGAAATTTCACTCAGCCTAGTCTGTTAATATCATGAAAAGGTCCATTGAAATAGGCTTCCAGCATGCTCTATGAATGCAGGTGAAATTTCATAAATTGTAAAGTCTATAGAATGAAAAGAAATTCTTCTTATTCCTACATGTTTGGTAGATTTTGGGAGTTTGGGCATTGGGGTTTTACTGAACTGTATCTAATGTTATACTAGGTAGGAAATATTTACAAGAACCAGAGGGATTGTAAGATTATTGTAATAGAAAAAATAAGCTAATAATGGAATACATTAAGCTATAATGCCAAGAAGGATTTAAATATTTCTTGTTTCCCATTTCTAATTATATAATTGTCATTTCTGCTTAATTTTAAAATGCTCATGGCATGACTTAACTGTAAGTTTAATTTTACTACTATCATGTCCTGAGGATAAAGATTAAGGATTTTTGTTTATGTTTTCTCAAAAGTTTATTATTTTCATTAAGTTTTTACTTAAATGTGCAAAATGGTGATATCATTTGTTTTAACCTTACGATTAAGGAAATGCATTGAACGTCATATGTTGTAATAGATATTACAAGTTAATATGCATTTTGTCCTGTTTCTAAATAAAATGGAGAATTTACATGTGCTGGGGTTCACACTTTGTAATGGAAAAAGTTTTTACACCATGTGCTGTATTTAGAAGGTAGTTTTTTAGTAATTTATGCTTTGAGGAAAAATGAATATGTTAAAATTCCACCCTTTACACCACATGCAGTAGTTATTAGTGAAGTCAACATACTGCTTGACTGTCTTCATTATTACTTTAAGACTACTTGTGTTTAACTAATAGCTTTTTTTTTGTTTTATCCTTCCAATGTACTAAAACTTTCAGAATACTCAATACAGCTGTTCTATATAATGACACTGCCTCATTAGTTTGATGCATTTGAGCATACATACTAATAAGGACAGTCACAAGGAAAAAATACTTTATTTCATTCTTCCCTGGTGTTCCTTTTTGAAATAAGAACATTTGCCACTAGTGGATGTAGCAGCTCAAATGTAACCAAAGGAAAAACTCAGGAAAAGGCACAGATGGTCTCATTGGACTCTAGAGGAACTACTTGTCTATATCGGTGGCACTTTCTCCCTGGTTTATCTACCTCTTTGCATAGCATAAAAATTAATTTTTCAGGTAACACTTCCATGGCCATAATTAATGTCAAGGCTGTAATTTCTTAGTGTGGGCAGATAAGAGTTACTCAGCTAAAAATAGACCTCCCAAATAGACCCTATAAAACCTTGTGGTCCTTTTCAATTAAAAGAATTTCCTGCAATTCAAGACTGCATGCAGGTGCATTATTTATATGCATTGCTGCTTTAGCCATTGTTATGCATTATGAATTATAATTATACCATGGGGTCCACCTTTTTCTGAGGGGAAGAAGGTATCTTCCTCCTAGACAAATCGTAAATCGAATTTTCTAGACCATAACTGACACTGATGGTTTTGTCTGTAATAGACTCGAAAAAGGTTTTTTTTTTCATTGTGGAATCTTCCATTTGTTAGAAAACTGTCAATAGAAGAGTAGAGATACATGCTAGCATATTTGAAATTTAATGTCCATCACTTCCACTGAAAATATTTTCTGAAAGAGGGTTCCTATGTAGATTTATAACACTCAGGAAGAGAGAAATTTTAAGCTGCCAAAGTACAATTGTAACCAAACACTAATCTTTTAGAAAAGGGTTTCAATGGCTAGGAAGGAGATGAATCCTGTTCAGAGATTTGTGTTCAGTCTTCTGTGTCTTGATTCATTATTAGACTCTGCTATATTTGATTTCTCTTATGCTATACTATTTATTATATTTTAATATATCTAATTCTACAGAAAAAAATGAGCATCCAAACTTTTAGATATAACTGCAAAGAGAGAAGTATAAGACATAGATAACAGCAGTGTACCAAGAGATTGCAAATCAACAATTAATTCATTTATACCCTTATTTGGTCCTCAAATGATTTCATGAAGGCTTTAACAACATAAAATATAGTAAAGTTAAGAGATGGGGAGATGGGGGGAAATGTTTAATAGCAGGAAGACAACATGATATGGTTTTGTTTATATTTAGGCTCTTTTAGAGGCTCAATATAATCTCTCTGTGTTAAAGAGGAATGCATAGAAAGGAGTTGAAAGAGGTAGCCTAGAAAATGGAATATTTGTGTCAGCCAGAAGGGGTGCCATTGGCAAATGTCAAGGAAAATCCTAATATTCAAATTTTCTTCTAATGTAATTCTTTTTAGTCTAGTAGGTTAGAAAGCTTACTCCCCTGCTGACTACCTAAAATCCATTTGGAAGGATTCTTACAGTTGCAATTGGCTTTGTGAAATTTCTGTTCTATGGTGCAGTGCCTGGCATATATTAGGTTCTTAGAAAATGTTAAATGTTTTATTACTACTAATAGAATATTTCATTCAAATTTTATGGAGCTGTATGATTTCAGGAAAGAATAACATGAATATTCTGGATTCTTTGTGTCCTTAGTAAATGTCTAGAACATTTCAATCTGTCCCTCAGGAAAAACCAAGGAAGACGTTTTTGTCCTCATTTCATTATGGGTACAGTTCTTGGTCGATTAAAATGATATTCAAAATGTTTTCTAAATGAACAAAATTGTCCTTTAAAGTTGATACTTCTGAATCTGACCAGTGAAGAGTTTAGAAATAAGATTTAGAAGCAGAATATAATGTACATAAACAAAGGAGGAGATCATTTATTCTTTAAGCCAGAGGGTACTGGCCCTAACTCTAAAGAGCATATTGAATTTAGGTCTCAGTTAAAAGGCAGCAATAAAACCATAAATAAGCATTCTGAGAGACAAGAGGTGTCCATGTTAAACAGACCGTTGAAACCTGAAGGCTTATTTACCCAAAGTGGTTTCCAGAAACTAGTCCCTCCTCCCTCTGCAGCACAACCAGTTGTACCAGGGGCCTTGTCCTAGGGGTCTATTCCTTTTAATGTCATTAATGTTGGAGGAGATGCATAAACTTGTAAGGAAGTGTGAGATAAATAGTAAAGGGTGATCCAGATGGCTGTAGTGTGATTACTCATTAGGGATAATGAAGAATGAGATTGTAAAGATCCCCTGGATTAGGAGAGATACTAAAGCA